ATATATATATGTATATATACATACACATATACATATATAACATCTACATCTACACATACATATACATATATAACATTACATATAAATATGTTTTATTGCATATTTATTATTTTGCTAAATTATTTCTCAGTTACATTTTAATCTGGTTTGGGAGTGCTTGACATACCACATCAAAGCTACCATTCTTACCCTTTTACTCTCTGCCCCCAATTCAGTTGGGAAAGACATTTGTATAGGCTCTATTAATGTAGGGAACTATACTAGTCTTGTGGGGAATACAAAAATAAATGGGAAAGATGTCCATACCTTAAAGAATTTATGTTGTCTAGTAACAGAGAAGGATGTGTTTATGAATAAACTATAATAACAGGTTAGAACATGGTGAGAGGCAAAATGTTGTGGGATAATATAGGAAGCCTTCTGGTGGTAGGAAGCATGATGATACAGTAGAAAGAACACTAGATTTGTAATCAGGGGGCCTGGGTTCAAATCTAAGCCTTTCTACTTGCTACCCATGTTATCTTGAGCAAGTAACTTCTCACATCTCTGATAGATCTAAATCTCTGAAACTTTGATGATGATACAGAGATATTTACAGTTTGGGTAGAATCAAGGAAAACTTCATAGGAGGGGTGACGTTTGAGCTAGATTTTGAAGGACTGCTAATCTCTCAATAGGCTGATTGAAGTTGCAGAGGTGAGATAGGAAGAGAACATTCTAGAGATAGAATGCAGAATTTAGAAAGTATTTTTGTTGTTTTGTTATTCAATAGTATCTGACTCTTCTGTGCCCTTGTTTGGGGTTTTCTTGGCAGAGAAACTGGAGTGCTTTGCTATTTCCTTCTCAAGCTCATTTTACAGATGAGGAAACTGAGGCAAATTGGGTTGTGACTTGCCCAGGGTCATACAGCTACTAAGTGCCTGAGGCCAGATTTGAACTCAGGAAGATGAGTCTTCCTGATTCTAAGCCCAGTGTTCTATCCACTGTGTCACCTAGCTGCTCATTAAAAAGGATAGGATGAATTAAAGCAACTCTGAGGTTCCATTTCATAGTCATCAAATCAGCATAGTTGACAAAAAGGGAAAATGACAAATGTTGGAAGGACCACAGGAAAGAGGCACACTAAAGCACTGTTGGTGGAGCTGGAAATTGGTCCAGTCAATTTAGAACTATGTCTCAAAAGTTATTAAACTGTACGTACATTTCCTTTGACCCACTAACACCACTACAAGGCTTATTCCCTCAAAGAGATCAAACAAGGAGAAAAAGGATCCATGTGTCAAAAAAAAACACAAAACTATTTATAGTAGCTTTTTTTAAAAATATAGTGGCAAAGAACTGGAAACTAAGGGGATGTCTTTCAACAGGAGAATAAAGAGTAATAATAATAATGTCTCCCATTTATATAGAACTTCAAGGTTTACAAAGTACTTTACAAATATTATCTCATTTTATCCTTGGGAGGTAGGTGCTATTGTTATCCTCATTTTACAGATGAGGAAACTGAGTTAAATAGAAGTTATGACTTATCCACAATCACATAGCACTTAAGCATCTAAATCTGGATTCAAAATCAGGTCTTCCTGACTCCAAATCCAGCTTTCTACCCACTGCACCACCTAGCTGCCAAACACATGCAGCTAAATAAATTATGGTACATAAATGTAATAGATTATGATTATGCTATAGGAAATGATGAAAGGAGAGCTTTCATAGAAACCTGGGAAAACTGGTATGGAGAGTAAAATAAACAGAACCAAAAGAACAATTTGTATAATAATAATATTGTAAAGACAAGCAAATTAAAAAGATTTGAGAACTCTGATCAACAATTACCAACCACACTTCCAGAGGACTATTGATGAAGCATGCTACCCACCTCTGATGGAGAGGTAATAGACTCAAGAAACAGAATGAGGCATTTATTTTTGGATGTGGCTATTATATACATTTGTTTTTCTCGACTATGAATGTTTGTGTTTAAAAAATATTAAAGGATGAGACAAATTTGGGAAACATTGAGTTTGGAAAGAGTGTATGTGGTGGGAAAGTTGCATGAGATCAGGCTGGCATTTCTACTTGAGTTCATCACAACGGAGAAGAAACTTTCCAGTTACCCTGACTCCTTGCCATCTCTGGAGCAGGAAGAAAATGAATGGTCCCTGGTACGTAGGGAATCCCGATTGTGTGAAACGACAGCTTCCCCTTGCAAATGGGAATGGCCAGTCAACGATACTGCAATTTCCATGTATGTTTGCTTTTAGGAAAAGGATAAAACCAAGTGTTCAGGTTGATCATATGCATCACACTCACATATAATCAGCATGGTACCTGAGACTTCCCAGGCTCTACTTTCCTCTTCTTAAAGAAAGTCATTTCATTGAAAGATGAAGTGGATCCTAGAATTCAGGCCTGGTTCTTCCACTTACTACATGTGTGGCCTTGGAGCTATCACTGAAACACTCTTGGCCCTCATTTCCTTATCTATAAAACAAAAGAATTTGACTAGACAATTTCTAAGGTCCCTTACAGCTTGGAAACAATGATCCTTCCCAAGGTTAGAGTTAGTCCCCCGAAGTCCACTAGTAAAATACAACATATGAAGATTCACCCAGCTCATCAAAAATGTTTATTGGATACATCTTCCTTTCTGTGTGGTCACAAATGGAATTTTTGTTTCTTGGCAGATAATGGATAGTCTTGCTATTTATAAATTCTTTTTCCGTGTTATTCACTTAGGGGAGATCTTGTGATCCAGCTATCTGTCCTGCTCCAGATGAACTGCAGTCTGTAATGGTGATTAATAACACAGCTGCATGTTTCAGAGCTTTAATGCTTAAGTCTAATTGTTTAAAGACTTAGGCAACTTTAAAACAACTTTTGTAAAAACATTAAAAGACAATCTTAGATAGAGGTAATATGTTTCAGAGAACTAAGTAACAAAGTTCACACCTTTAAAAATCTCCTTCCATTGTAAGTTTTCTTCTACCTCATCAAAGTCTGTGAAAGAAGAAAAGGAAGGAAGGAAGAAAGAAAGAAAGAAAGAAAGAAAGAAAGAAAG